AGAGATTTGTAACAATAAAAAAAGAGCAAGAAGTAGTCATGGAAGAACTTCAAAGTGCAATGGAACAGAAAGCGATGCTTGAGAGCCAAATAGCAGAATCTGATGGTACAATGGAAAACCTAAACCAGAAGCTTGACATAGCTGTGAAGTTGTTGCAAAAATTGAGGGATGAGCGAGAGGAGTTACAGACAGAACGTGACAGAGCACTCAGAGAAGCCGAGGAGTTAAGGAGTCGCGCAGAGACCTCAACCCAGCAGTTACCTCAGTACTTCACGGATTTCTCTTTCTCCGAGATTGAGGAAGCTACTAATCACTTTGATTCGACCCTGAAGATTGGGGAAGGTGGATATGGAAGCATCTACATTGGTCTTCTGCGTCATACTCAGGTGGCCATAAAAATGTTGAATCCTAACAGTTCGCAAGGCCCTTTAGAATACCAACAGGAGGTAATTTCTTGACTTATTATTAATGGATCCAAAAGTTTGTGTAAATTAAATTTATTCTTTCATTCTATCATCTTTTACTGTTTCGTTGTGCACAAAATGCTGTCTCTACTAAAAAGGGGACTTTGAAACACTGTCCTGAAGTTTTAACTTTATAGTGCTTGGTCTGGAGGACTTATCCTTGCTGCATTGCAGGTTGATGTGTTAAGCAAGATGAGGCATCCAAATATCATCACGCTAATTGGAGCTTGTCCAGAGGGGTGGAGTCTTGTCTATGAATATCTTCCCGATGGAAGCCTTGAAGACCGGCTTAATTGTAAGGACAACTCTCCACCCTTGTCGTGGCAAAATCGGGTGCGCATTGCCACTGAGATATGTGCAGCACTTGTCTTTCTTCATTCCAATAAAGCTCATAGCTTAGTACATGGTGATTTGAAGCCAGCAAATATTCTTCTCGATGCCAATCTCATTAGTAAGTTAAGTGACTTTGGAACCTGCTCGCTACTAAATCCTAACGGAAGCAAAAGTGTATCAACCGATATCACAGGCACAGTTCCTTATTTGGATCCAGAAGCTTCCAGTAGTGGAGAGCTAACTCCTAAGTCAGATGTTTACTCGTTTGGGATTATATTATTACGCTTGTTAACCGGGAGACCTGCTTTACGTATAGCAAACGAAGTGAAGTATGCCCTCGATAATGGATCATTGAACAATCTCTTAGACCCTTTAGCAGGTGACTGGCCCTTTGTTCAGGCTGAGCAGCTAGCTCGCTTAGCATTGAGATGCTGCGAGACTGTCAGCGAGAACCGTCCAGATCTTGGAACTGAAGTGTGGAGGGTACTTGAACCTATGAGGGCATCTAGTGGAGGATCTTCATCTTTCCACCTTGGCCGTAATGAGCATCGCATAGCCCCTCCATACTTCATTTGTCCCATTTTCCAGGTAACTAATTAGTTAAATATTGATTTAAGAAATAACCAGAAATCTTATATTTCAAGGTCATTGAAAATTGCTTGTGTTAGGTCTCAAATAAGAATGGTGAGTAAACCGTTCTTCCTCTGTTTTTTCAAAACTTTCAGGAAGTCATGCAAGATCCACACGTAGCTGCAGATGGTTTCACATATGAAGCAGAGGCCATAAGAGCGTGGCTGGACAGTGAACACGATACTTCACCAATGACCAATGTCAAGCTTTCCCACACCAGCCTGATCGCCAACCATGCTCTTCGTTCTGCAATTCAGGAGTGGCTTCAACATCATTGCTAAGGTGAAGTCATTCAAGGCCTCAAACCCTGTTCCCGCAAGTAAGCTCTTATGAAAAAAAAAAGTTTTCGCCTTTTCTCTGGGAAGCAAAAGAGAGCGAGTGCTTAAGATTAGTTTTTTTCGTCTACCTTATACACATACTTACGATCTCCATGGATAGCATATATTTTGTCTACTTTGTCAAGCATAGTGTAAGTCCATATTTGTCAGAAATGAAAAGAAAAAGAGTGGTGAG